CATTTAGACATACGTGAAACGTTTTTTGACTCATTTACCGAAGTGCTGTGGTTCGGAACTGTTATATAAATTTATTTATCGTATTGGGCGACAAGTGTCCACCACGCGACTTTCTTTGCAATAAAATATTCGGAATCTCTCAGGTAAAAATATATAATAAATAACAATATAAAATCAATAGTTGGGTAATATTTTGTTCACATTTTTATTTATTTAGTTTAATATGTCAAATAATAAAAGAATGAGACTTGAGAGGACGTTAGACGAAAATATAATTCAAAATTGGTTCCATGATTTTAGTAGTGACGAAGAATCTTTTGGAGAGGATAGTGATTCAGATGAGGATATTGTACTTAGAAGTGATCACGATACCAATTCTGAAGAAGAGGCAACTGATTACGAGATAGACGAGGTCCGTGAAAATGCCGATAATTTTTACATAGGAAAAGATGGAAAAACAAAGTGGTGTAAAATAAAACCTCCTGTAAATGTCCGTACACGTGCACATAATATTATAACCCATCTTCCTGGCCCTAGAAGGGAAGTACGTGGAAAAAAGTCTCAAATTGAAATTTTAAAATTATTTATTGACGATAATATTACTAGAATTATAACGCATTGTACAAATATTTATATTGAATCAATCCGTGACAAATTTCAGCGAAGTCGAGACGCGAGGCTTACATGCGTAACAGAAATTAGAACCTTTATTGGACTATTATACCAAATAGGATCATTTAGGTGCTCCCGTAAAAATATACATCAACTTTGGGACAATTCAAAAGGAAATGGAATGGAGTCATGTTATTTAACTATGAGTGAAAAGAGATTTCGTTTTCTTGTAAGATGTTTACGGTTTGATTATGTGCATGATCGAGCGGTTCGTAAACAATTTGACAAATTAGCTTCTATTAGAGATATTTTTACATTGATGGTTGATAATTTTCAAAAATATTACTGCCCCAGTGAATATGTGACCATAGACGAGCAGCTATTAGCTTTTCGAGGAAAATGTCCATTTAGGCAATATATTCCGAGTAAACCGGCCAAAATATGGCATAAAAACATTTGCCCTAGTTGATCCTAGAACTGTCTATACTTTAAATTTAGAGACCTATCTCGGTGTACAACCCGACGGACCATACAAAATTAGTAATGCTTCTCAAGATGTAGTTTTGCGATTAGTTGAACCTATTTTTGGAACAAATAGTAATATTACGGGTGACAACTGGTTTACCAGTATGCCTTTGATTATCAGTTTGAAAGAAAAAAAACTTACATATGTAGGTAGAGTTCTTAAAATAAACGAGAAATTCCAAAAGAATTTTACCAAACAAACAACGAGTTGAAACGTCTTCAGTATTTGGATTCCAAAAAGAATGTACATTGGTTTCATATTGTCCGAAAAAAAATAAAACGGTTTTAGCAATCTCGTCTATGCATCACGATGATGCAATAGACGAAGAAACAGGTGACAAAAAAAAACCAGATATAATTACATTCTATAATAGGACTAAAACTGGTGTTGATTTGGTTGATCAATATTGTCAAAATTATAATGTAGCACGTAACACAAAACGCTGGGAAATGGTTATATTTTATAATCTTTTGAACGTGGCTGCAATAAATGCACTATGTATTTATAAAGCTAATAAATAATAATAACGGAAAATATAAAAGTAAAAAGAATCGATTTTTTACAAGACTTGTCGTGGGAACTAATAAAACCACAAATTCAATTTAGATCTACAATACAAACACTTCCAATTGAACTTCGAAGACGTGCCAAAATTCTGTTAGGAGAAAAGGATACGGTAGCTATAGAGACAGAAAGACCAGATGGATCCAGAGGTCTATGTTATGATTGTGGACGAGCGCGTGATAAAACTACCAGAAGGTGGTGTTGTAAATGTAATAAGTGGATGTGCGGTGACCATTTAAAAGACATATGTAAAAATTGTGTACTATAAAAAAAAAATGTATAAGCTATTTATATCTTTCTAATCACAAGTAATAAAATAATTATAAATAAATAATGTAAATTTTGACGTTTAATAATAAAAACAGTAATAAATTATAAATATTTATAATTGAAATCAATAAATTATTTATGGTTGACAACTGTCCCCCACGCGCCCAACCACATAAAAAATGTCGACGCGCCTAAAGTAGGGTTAACTAAATTGCCGAAAAACTCAAATTTGAAAATGTTATACCTCAAAAACTATTGATTTCCGCCAAATTATTATTAAACCATCGTTTTTAAAACTGATTTACATAGGTTTCGAAAAAAAAAGTGAAAACTTCGGGTGGACTCTAAACTAGATTTGTTCCTTTTTTTGTTCCAAGATCTATGGAAGTTATATAATAACTAAATTACACTCTATCTATAGAAAAAGTTCAATCAAACTTTATACTAAAGGATTTTGATCAAAAGGGACTATTTTAGGAAATAGTACCTCAAGAGAAAAAGATAGTAGGAAATAGGAAATTTTGCAGAAAATGATATATTTTTTGCAGAAATAGACAGTTTTGAAAAATAAAATACTTCTTAGCAAAAAAAAATATAAATTATTGATGTATGATATTACAATTTTCTATTGAACTTTAAACTAATATATCTTTATTTTATGAATAAATATTTAAAACTTTTTATGATTTAAAAAAAATGTCATCACTTCTCTCTCAAAAAAAATATATACATACAATTATTGGGTTAATACAATGTTAACTAACCTACAATGTTTTTTAATATTCAAATAAATATTTAACTAACTTGAATATTATTACTTATTATAAATATAATACAAATATGTTAACATTCATCTTCATCATAATAAGCTGTACCTTCAGGGTTTTCATTATCACGAACAATATGATTAGCAGTACCTATCTTGCATCACATCATTATAAAATTGTTTTGCATCTTCAGGTATACAAAAAATATTTTAATAAACTAGCTACATCCTTTTTTTTGCTGGTTTTAGGTGACTTGTTTTTGGTAAAACTTCTAAATTATTTTCAAATAATTTAGGATTATATTTCCTCTTTAAAATGTCTGCTCGAACAGGTGTATCTGTATAAGATGGTGTTATACCAAACGTGTGTAACCCTTTCACGTAAGAAAATACCTTTTGTTCTGTAGTTTTAAAACCTAAAACTGATTTTGTTTTTCTTGTTGTTGCATTTTTAAAATTGTACATCAAAAAGTCTTGGCCATAGACATGAACTGAGGTTTCTTCTTTAAAAACATCATAATACTCACTAGGTGACACAATATTTTCTTTTTTCCTAAGCTTTTGTAGAGCTTTTGTGCTCTATTCGTCCAAACACTCCAAACATCCTATCCTGAGGCATGTAACTATGGCCTCGAACTGGAAATATGTGATCAATGTTATTAAACACAGAAGATTTATAATTTATATAGTATATAATGTAGTTATCATAAACTTATTTTTGTTCTGAGCAGAACAAGAATCTGAGAACTAATTTAAAGTTTCAGGATACTGATCTGGGGACATGGTTTGCTTTATTTTAACTTCCAAATAGTTTAAAAAAAGAAATTAATGCTGAACATATTTCATTAGGTCCCCTGCCGCTTTCAGTTTCTAGCCACGTATAGGTGTGACAAGTATTTTTATTTTCCATACCCTCTGAATTTATTACAAATGTTATGTTATAAAGCCAAACTTGACGACAGTAAAAAACATCAGTTACACTGAGTTTGGGTGAAGGCTGAGTCTGCATCATGTCAAAAAAGACTGAAACTACTTTTTCTTTATTTTCAGCCATCTTCATAAAAAACAATTTTGATTTTTTTTGTGAATTTGTAAATCAGTTTTAATTTCTTCATTTTTTTCTTGTTACTTTTCTTGAACCAAAATACATAAATTGTTTAGAATTGTATTCTTATTTTAAGATATAGTTATGTAAACACTATGTAATATACCTATATAATTGTTAAATAAATTATTTTTTATTTAACCTTCCAGCGGGCGCGCTGTTGTAAATAATACAACAGTTTTATATTTATTTGTTTATTCAACTTTTATTCTATTTTTATCTTATCGGCGGTCATGGGTATTCCTCTGTAATGTTATTATCTACGTTTTAGACTATTGTTTCAGTTCACTTTATTGCAGGCAATCGACGAAGTACTTATAGTGTTGTCACAAAATACAACACGCGCCATTCCGTGTACCTACGCCAAACATAAAACGCGTCGTTCGTTGTATCTGACTTATTTTGTCATTTTTATTTTTGTGTGGTAATAAGAACAAAAATATGTAAGTATTGTTTTATATCACTATGCAATATATAATTATAATATATACATTTTAATTTTTTTTATAATATGTTTCTTTTATTATTTGTATACGTTTTGGTACGTACTAATAATCGATATTATTTATACTATGTCTTAGGTCGGATCATATGACAGTTGAGCAAATTCAAAGTTTACTGCAAGACATTTCAACTGAAATAGACTGTGTTGATGACCAAGAGAGTGATAGTGATCTAAGCATCGAAGATGTGGAGGTAAGTGACCACGAAAGCAATTCTGAACAAGATTTTTCAGACAATGAATCAGATCTAGATACTAGTTTGGGGGACAGTACATTCTATATAGGAAAAGATAAAATAACTAAATGGCAACAAAAAGAGTTTACAACTTCAAAAATTAGGCAACATAATATAATAAACGTGGTTCCCGGTCCAAAGGAGTGTGCTAGAAATATCGTTAGTGAGATAGATGCATTTCTAAAAATAATTGATCTTGACATGATTGACGAAATAGTAACGTGCACTAATATGTATATTAGTAATATGAGACAACGAGTTCAATACTCTAGACCCCGAGACTGCTTAGATACTTCAAGATGTGAAATACTGGCTTATTTTGGACTTTTATTTTTGATTGGTATAAAGAAAGCTCATCATGCTAATGTAAAAGAATTATGGTCGGCGGATGGTTCTGGTATAGAAATAACTAGGGCACTATGAGCTACAAAAGATTTTTGTTTTTGTGTCGCTGCCTCAGATTTGACGATCGCGAAACTAGAGCTGAAAGACGGGTGATTGATAAACTGGCTCCTATTCGTACTACGTTTGACCTTTTCTTGAAAAATATCAATCAGAATTATAATTTGAGTGAATATACTACTATTGATGAAATGTTACACCCATTTCGTGGTCGGTGTCAATGGATACAGTATATCCCAAGTAAACCGGCCAAATATGGCATCAAAATGTTTGCATTATGTGATGCAAAAACATTTTACACGAGTAAAATAGAGATTTATGTTGGAAAACAACCACCTGGTACGTATGAGGTTTCTAATTCACCAATTGATATCGTGAAACGATTAGTAACACCCATCGAAAACTCTAAACGAAATCTTACCACTGACAACTGGTATACCAGTATTCCACTTGCAGATTACTTATTACAAAAAAAAATTACTCTAACTGGAACTTTGAAAAAAAAACAAGCGAGAAATACCTACAGAATTTTTACCAGATAAAAAAAAAGAAGTTGGTTCGAGCGTGTTCGGGTTTCAAAAAAATAAAACATTAGTGTCATACGTACCACGAAAAAACAAGGCAGTTATTTTGCTTTCAACTATGCACCATGATTCAAAAATTGATGTAGAAACTCGTAAACCAGAAATAATTATGGATTATAATTGTACCAAAGATGGAGTTGATACAGTAGATAAAATGTGTGCGGCATATTCAGTCTCTAGAATTACAAAAAGGTGGCCACTTGTAATTTTTTATTCTTTGATGAATATTGCTGGAATAAATGCTCAGGTACTGTTTTCATACTATAAACATAACAATGCCCCTAAAATAAGAAGATTATTTTTGAAAACATTGGCATTTGATCTAATGAAGGAACATCTTGCTTCTCGAGCTCAAATCTCAAGTTTACCATCGGACATATCATCTTTTTTGAAAATAAAATATGCTGTTCCAAGTACATCAGATGTTTCTACAACCCCCCCTTCAAAACGAGGAACTTGCTTCGAATGTGGGAGAAAAAAAAATGCGGCTACATCTATGAAGTGCACCTAGTGTATGCGATTTATATGTAAGCTCCATTCAAAAAAAATTATTATTTGTGAAAAGTGTTCTAATAACGATGACAATGACAATTCTGAATAATTTTCTACTGTAAACAAATACTAAAAATAATTTTAATTTTTTATGTAATAATAATAAGATGTATTGATTTTTAATAGAATATAATTATAATAGTATTTAAATAAAAACAACTTTGTGAACGTACCTATTGTTTATTTCATTATTAGATGTAATATGTACGACTATCACAGCATATTAGGACTGTTGAAAAATTTACAACGCGCGAACACTCTTGTTTCAAATAATGGCGCGTCCACTGGAAGGTTAAACTAAATACTTACAGACTTATAAAATATATTTATTTTAATATAGAACAAGTAAATTTAATTGAAATATTTTAATAAGTTATTTTGAACAACTTAACTGTCATTAGTGAAGTATAACAATAGCAAAAACATATTTGTATTTCTTAATCGAGTCGTGTGTCAATTGTGAACTGTTTTATAATATCCACAGAGTACAGACCAGTAAACCACAGACCACAGTGGCATAGTACAACAGAAATCAGATTATCAGAATACAATAATATAATTACCAATTTATAATAAATTGCTGATATAACATTATAACGCGTGTGGCTAAGGCTACACACGAATTGCGTCCCGAAATAAAAAATTTGATAAGCGGGTACACGAATTGCGTCCGGCATTATCTAATCTACTACATGAATTGCGTCCGGTTTTGTTTAAACGATTGCATGAACGATAAACGTACTGTAAAGCCTATAATAATTTTAGTTCGATTTCGATCGTGTTGTTGGTGTAAACGTTTGTGTAACCTTCATTATCTGTTAAATAAAACTTAAACTCTAAAAACACAATAAAATGACTTCGGTGATTTTAAGCGAAAAAAATAAAACATTATTTAATATTGATGGATACAAATTTCGGTATCATAAAACATTAAATTAAATAATGAAAATGAGATTATCGAACGTGCATAATATATTAACGATCATAATCATATTAAAGATTCTGTTGAAGTATTTAATAGACAACAGTTAAGTAATAATTTAAAGAGAAAGGCTGTAGAAGAACTTTATGATAAACCATCAAAACTTATTCATGGAGCTTTATCAAATGACATTCCAACATTGACAACTTATGATTTAACCTTGATTCGTAATAATATACACCACGCTCGGTCATCGACAATTCCAAAACTTCCAGATAACTTACCTGATTTACACAATATTTTATTGAATGAAAATATTCAGACTAACAGAGATGAAAATTTTTTATTAATGAATAAAAACGAAAATAATATAATCATTTTTTCAACTATTACTAATTTAAATTTTTTAAGTGAAGTTGATACAATATTTGTGGATGGAACTTTTAAAAGTTGCCCAAAATAATGTTTTTACGTTGGGACGCAATTCGGGTAGTTGTTAAATATGGTTGGGACGCAATTCGTGTAGTCGTTAAATATCTTTGGGACGCAATTCATGTGGAAAAGGGATTTCGGGACGCAATTCATGTGCAGCGGTGGCTAAAATGCTTATAGTAGATAATAGATATTACTGATAATAGTATTAGCAGCTAAATAGCAATCTATATATGTTGCAGTTGCTACTCGCTAAAATACTATTACAAATAAATACTAATATACTAAAGGAAATAACAGCTATTACAATAATCTAAATAGTAAATAGCAAATAGCAATATCAGTTAAGTAATAGCAGTTTAGCAATAGCAGTAGTACTGTATAGAGCACGGCGCGCTATCATAAATATCATCAGGGTAGGCAACAGGGAAAAATATCAACAAAACAAAATGCTTTTATAATTTTTGATTAGCAGGCTGCTATTGCTAATGTAAAATAGCAGTGCAAATTACACTGCTACTGCTATTTCTTACCATCACTATGCTACTTGCTAGGTGCGGGGCTGCGCTAACAAGTTTGTTCTTATGTTAGAGTAATAGTGTATTTACTATTTAATATTTTTCCGTCTCATGTAAACTTACATGCCAAAACCGCCACTGGTTTACAGTATATCGTGAAATACGGCGATCGGCGTGTGCGATTCGTTGTTCGTTCAACGATCCACCCAGTACTGCCAGATTTGTAAAATTAACTATCGCCAAATCAAGATACGAAAAACGCAATTTACCGCCAAAATCATTAACAAAAAAAAAAAAATCATTTTCTTCATAATTTTGTACTCTGTACGGCGTTATTACACGCAACTATAAAATATCAACTTCAACACAATTTGTACATTATTTGTCATAAATATAAAATTTTAGCTATGGTTGAAAATATGAATGAATAAATTTGTTCTTCTATAGATACCTAATCTGTAAGTTATTGGTGTGCAGAATTATATAAGATTTTATAAATAAGTTAATACAAAATACACAATACTACCTGAATCAAATGTTATATTATATGGTCATCATTTTTAAATGTTTAAATAACAATATGTATTGCTTACTAAATGTATAAATAATATTATAACTTTAATCTTTCCTCAGAATAAATAAACATAATAGTAATAGTAAAAATAGTAGTAAAAGAGTAACATTTCATAATACAACAAATATAAATAAAAAACTTTCATAAAGGTACAGCACTATTTAATTACATGGTACCTTCAAATTAACAACAACAGTTTTATTGTTTACAAATGGTTTAGACTAGCTTAAAACAATATGAGTATCAATTTTTAAATATTTAAATAACAATGTTTATTGTTTAATATATGGATAAATAATATTATAACTTGTATCTTTCATTAGAATGCCTAATTAAACATAATATAGTAATAGGCAAAATATTAATAAAAGAGCAACATTTTAATCATAAAAATCAGGCAAACAAACTTCATTAAACAAATTAATTAAATCACCATCAAGTACAGTATTATTATCATCATGACTATCGTTTGATTCATCAAGTTAGGTTTAGGATACATAAGTCCTGAGTTAAATTTTTTATACATGACATTTGTTGGAGTGAACATGGTACAACAATGTTTAATAGAAATTAAATGACACCTTATTCTCAATAATGATTGACAAACCAATGATGAAAAACCTCTAACATTGGTATAGAAATCCTATTACGAGATTTAGTTTTTATAGAGTTCATAATTGAGAAAGTTCTTTCAACTATGGCATTACTGGAAGGTAAAACAAGAATTTTTAGTACAAATTCAGACAATTGTCTGAAAACAAAAGTGCCCCCTGCATCTTGGTGTGTATAAACTTCAGCCTAAAAATGATAGCTGTCAAAAATTTTATCTTTAGCTAAATATGATGTCCAATTCACAGTTACTAATTTATCCCACTGAATAGATAACAACTCAAGTTCAGCTGGCTTAAGGAATATATTAATAAAAGGTAACTCAATAAAGCTTGGATGTAAGAAAAGTTAAGTTTAAGTGGTTGAATTCGTTTCGTATAGGTCTTATAGTTAATAAAAAAAGATAGGTGATATTGTCTTGTAACATTTCGTTTATAACTCTTGCCGTATAATATTTTTCTTTATTAATGACGGTGGAGAAATGAGTTTTTAGTTCAAGCCAATTCTCTAATATAGAATTAACCACATATCTACGCGCCAGCCATCTAGTACCGGATAACTGTTTAAACTGGTGTAACTTTTTATTGGATGAATTAAGAGATCAAACGTGGCTTTATACTCAAATCGTCTAAGTGGGCTTATATGAAACCAGTTATATATTTCTCTACAAAGAAAATCTATGTTACTAGGCAATTGTTCAGTGGCCTTTGACAATGCATTATTGAGGGAATGGCAGATACATCTAACAATTTGTAAGTTAGGACTTTTTTGTTTTAGGAGTGTATCTAAAGAGGGAGTGATGTTTGCCACATAAATTATTTGCTAAATCTGTACCAATACCTACCAAGTTACTTATATCCAAACTAATATCTTTAAGATAATTACAAACATGATTATTGAGAACTTCAACTGTACATTTATCTACTTCGATTATACTCAAAAATTCAATTTTTACACTTAAGTTTTTTGTACTGAAATATTTCACACATAAGCATAAATACTTAATTACAGAAACATCGTTTGATTCATCAACAATTAAAGGAAATGGAGTTGTACCTATATCCAAAATGAGTTCTTCTAGTAATGATGGTGATATCACATTTTTGATTAATGTTGAGCGAATTTAATTCGATGTAATTTTAAATTACTTGGAAGTGAATTATTTTTTTCCCCAAGAACCTTAAGTATTTCTCCAAGATGAACTATACTTTTGATAGAAGTATAAGTTGCAATATACAGGGACAACTTTAAATCTAACGCTTATTGTTCATTGGTAATTATAATTGTATACTTGTATTTCTTAAAACGGTTTGATTGTTCTGTTGAGGATTAAGTTTTTTCATTTTTTCACAGTGCATTTTTGTACTTGCATGTCTTTGTAAATCCGTCAAATGGGCTCTAAGGAATAACCGACAAATCTTACAAAATGCTTCACCAATTTTATTTGCATTTGCATCTCTTAACCATCCTAAAGTATTATACATTAATATTTACTTATACAGGCATATTAGTTTATATTTAAATTTAAAATTACAATTAAACAAATGTTTTACCTTTAGCCCAATTCTCTGATTCCCAACATAGTCGATATTTTTTAAATTTCTCTGTCTTGCCCATGATTTGAAATTATTTAAGGTCTTAAAACTTCGAACTTCGATCCATGGATAATGGATACGTTTAACACGAGTTAACTGTATACGACTAATGATAATCATTAATTTCCATCACAGTCACTCGATTATATTATAAACTGGAGCAGCCAGTAGTTTGGGTTTTGGGTAAGTGATTGCGATGGCCGGAGGAACAGGACTAGTTAATTAAAAAAAAAAGCTAATTTATTTCGTTAAATTAATATAATTTGGCCAGGGTAAGAAATCTCCACTTCAAATAGCAAATCGCCAACTTTTTCGCCACCCGCCAAAAGTCGAATATCTCCGCCAAACGTCCCGGAAAACCGGGACTGTCACCAGTTTTTGACTTTGTGTCCCGGTGTCCCGAAAAATGTTTTCGGGACGCCTATATGTCCCGGTTTTAGGAAAAAATTAAAATAATTGAAATCAAGAGTCAATATTTTAATGTTAAAGATAACGAATAATTGATAAATCCATAGGCTAAATAAAATAATATCAGGAATATTCAAGGACAACAAACAAGCCATGTGCGCTATGCACTGTGCAGTTTACATATTTTATTTATATATTTTATCGATAATCGATACGGCCATACGGGTGATACACAGACAGACTAATGTCTTTTACATCAGTAGAACGTAGGTCGTAGGCCGTAGCCTAGATTGTTCGTTTTTATTATTTTATTCGTTACTATAATATTATGGCACCAAAAAGAAAATGTCACTTTCGTGACGAGTTTTCTGTTACTTGGAGTTTTATAAAAAAAGGAAGAAATGAATTTGAAGCATATTGCACTTTTTGCAAAAGCTATTTTCAAGTTGCCCACGGTGGAAAATCTGACATAGTCGATCATATTAAATGTAACAAACATACTTTATTTACTATTTTTCTGTCTGTCCCGGTTTTACTTGATTAAATTATGGCAACCCTAGCCAAACCATTATTGAAAATCGCCATGTCTGGCAACACTGGATCCCTGTAAGACAGCGAGACCGTCGCCGCCGGCCGGTACTTTTCTAGCACCACTTGTCACCACTTGCAAACCTTGAGCCTTTTGGCGCGGCGGTAGAGTTGACAAAGTCGCGCTGTCGTAACCCGCGGTGGTGGTTGGTAAGAGCATAGACCGCTTGCTGCGGTGCCTGTACTTTGTACTGGCTGCCGTTGCGTACCGAGTCAGCAAACTAAAAAAAAGTTGAAATATAACTTTTCAATTCATATTTTTAAGGCATTTTGCATTATAGTGCGGTCGACGAAAATTAGGCCGCGATCGTCACGCGCCAGGGGGTATACAGTCAATACCTGTGATACTAAGACTTTTTTTGGTTATGAAGTAGTCCGCAAAGCGCTAGTGCAGTCCAGTGAGATTATAAGACACTCATCTACACCGTCCTTTAAGGCTAAATATTATTATTATTTATTATATAAATATAAACTCCATAAACGTTCTTAATTCTTATAGAATAAAAATATAATGATTCTTGTTGTATAGTTAAGTAGTTACGAAGGTATGTATTACATTTACACATTACATGTTAATAAGTTATTAAAATTGTCATTAGTTTTATTTATTCTATGTACACATATTATATACTAATAATTTATCTGCTATTATTCATGTTTAGTAGTTATGCCTTCAAACAAATGCTGTGTTAGTGGTTGTAGAACCAAAAAAAATGTTACGACTCATGTGTTTCCTGAAAATGACAATGACTATAAAATCTGGGATCAAAGAACTGGCAATCCAAATATTCAAATAATGGAAAAACAAAATGTTCGAAAATCTTACAGAATTTGCCATATTCATTTTGAAAAGTCTTGTGAAAGTCCAGGAACCAATAAGCTGAAATACAGATCTCTTCCATCGTTAAATCTACCTTGTAAAAATACTGTGTTGTGTGATTGTGTGTACGATTTATGTTGGTAAATGTTAAGCTTTAGAAAAGCAATGTATTTCTACTTATTTCTACTCAGTAAAATGTGGTTTCTATAGTCGGCCTAAAGGCCTATATAGTCCTATATCTGTTCCAATTTATGTTATAATTAAATTTGTGGTTTTTAATTTAATGTTATAGGTAGTGGTATAATATTTCTATTTGTACTTAGATAACCTTACAGTTTATATGTTATTTCAATTTGTGGTTTTAATTTAATGTTA